CCGCACTGAAGAGACGACCAGTAATTCCACGTCTTGATGATGCGACCTAAAAGTCATAAATCATCAATGCAATTCACGATGTATATTTCATTTATTGATATACTATATTGATATGTTAACACAATAAAAACCTGTTCATTCCATTGCCAAATATTTTTCTCCATGTATGGTATAATACTTTTGTCTACCAAATCTCGTATAAAAACATGAATACCAGAGATATCATCTTCATTAAGGTATTGCCCATACAAAACATCAGGAAGTGACAAATTGCCAACTAAACCCGGATCAAGTGCACTTTGCAAATCGGAATTCATGTTCTCTTTGTTAAATGTAGAATCTTCAATAAATGATGACGTTGGAGAATTTAGAGCTGAAATAGTGGGAGAAAGTGGATGCGAATAATTTGAGAGTGAAGTTAAAGAACTTTGGCGTGAGTGAGATTCCAAGAAAGTAGACGGAGTCGGAGGTGTAGTCGCAAACATTGCATCGAGAACGTTGGATTCCAAAACATAAGGAGACCAGATATCTTTCGTTGCACCGCGAATTGTTGTTGACGGAGGAGAAGTAGGAATAGAGAAAGGATCATTATCTTCCGAAAGTAATGTAGGAGGGATAGAATTTAGCTTTAAAAAGTAGCAGTCTTGTTTAAATGTGCGTTTCATCTCTTCGTAGATCGTTTCAGAGCTAGTCACGATATTATTCAATTAATGGAATTACCGCAAACGTGATAACACATGAGTGTCGCTAAGAAAAACCCGTAAATCTTATAAGATTTACGCGTTTCTCTTTACAGCACTCATACAAATAAAAAATATGAATTCCAAAAATAATTACGATTTACTCACTGTTCCATGTTAACTTTATGATTATCATGTAAAAGAACGTAGCATTTCAAAATATTGGGGTCCATAAACCCTTTTTCAAATATAGGAGCAAGAGAAGTGATATTACACATCTGACGAAGCGTATCGATAGGATTCACATTTGACGAACTTATGGCGAGAATACCTGAAATGTAAATAAGTCATGGTTCTAATATATAAATAATATTAACATAATAAAGGAATAAACAACGTTCAAAGGATACAGGCTACAGGATGTTCAAAGGTTTCGTGTTCGGAAATGCCAGTAAATCTGAAGAACCATTGCCTATATTCTGCGTACCATGGAGTTAATTCATCTTGATTTACTGTAATGCGTATAGGCATTAATACGGCACGACGACTTTACTTATAAATGATTCGGTCGATGAAAGCAAAAATACCTTCCAAATACCTCTCAGCTACATCAGATTTCGTTTTGATGGGGGTTAATTCATCCGTCAAGAGAGAATTATTAACATGCTTGACTCTATTCGCGAGAATTTGAGAAGTGAGCTGAACGTCAGGCTGTTCTAGTCTTGTTAAATTAACAAATCGAATTGTAAAGTTTTCTATAGGATTCGAAGCACCCTGAGAATCTTTGGTGGACACTGTATAGATTCAAATAAAAACACGAATGAAATAACAACGCAATTGGATTTTCAGCGCTTTTTTTTTTTTTTTTTTTTTTTCTTTTTTAAAAAAAAAAAAAAAAAGAAGAGAGTAAGCTTTGTACCTACAATATGCTTCTTTGACATTGGACTACTGTTATGCTTACGAACCTTTTCCTTCAATGCGTTCACCGAAAGGTTTTATCAATGTGAGAAAATCAGGGAAATTACTCGCTTGACACACTTGATCCGCATCTGGAGAAGACACCACAACTACCCTTGGACTATACATGGATATCGAAAACATTTTGTTCATGCCGCAAATTTAAATGGCGAAAAATGATTTGACAGCCAAGTCGTCGAAAATATTTTAGTATTCCGAAAATATTTCTGTACGTACGTACTGTACGTACGTACGTTGTCGAAAATATTTTCTGTAGATCTACCGTGATTTTCCGTGGATAATTAACCAATTAAAATACATAATTTTTAAATCGTAAATACTACTCGAAACCGAAAAAAAATTTCATGTAAAGAAGCTTATAAATTGATAAATATATTCTAAAGAATTTATCACATATCTAAAGAATAGATAGACAGATAGACACGCGTAAAGTGGGTAGATGTTATATTTATTACTAATAAACCCAAACTCATTAAAGAATTTACAAGACATGAACCAAACTTTAATTTATAATTACAAGATCCGACCAAATTTAAATCTTATCCCTTACACCGTCAGGCTAATCCGCAGTAAATATAAAGTCCGACGTGGCTTAAAAGATAAAATTAAATCGTTACGAAAATAATAATCATATATATCTAAGCCAACGTCGGAATTTAAACTCTCAATGTTGTACAAAAAGTTCGCAGGCAAATTTGCCTGCGAGACGGTGTAAGGATAATACCTATTCAAATTAAACGGTTAGCAATAAAAATTTAACGTAATAAAATAGCTTTAGACGAAAAGTTTCTAGTTACAATATAATTTGATATGGTCCAATAAACTGTATATTTTATCTTAAGTGAAATTCTTCAGTTCCCGATCTTTTCTCGATTATTTTGTACAGTGAATATTCACGCTCTTGCAAAGCTAACGGTAAAAAAAGATTGTATTTTTTATTAGTGAAACGTTACGTTATTTAAAAGTATAAATAAGTTGTCCGGGTAATAGATTTACATCTGCCAACCATACGAATATCCTTCTATAAGCCCTTGCTCGTCTTTTGTGTTCGTTCATTTTCTTTCGGATTATTTACATTTCACGATCCTAATAACGACTGCCATAAATAATTTCGACAGTCATGAGATTTTCGACAGACGAAAATAGTTTCGTCATACGTCATTTTAGACAATGACGAAAATATTAAAAACATTTCTGCCGTAAATCATTTATAATTTCAACACCCATGTATACCTTGGACTTAAAGTGCGT